TCAGAAGTAGGACCAGGAGAGGGAGCAGCAGCACCGGGAGGACCCTGTGCGCCTTGTACAGCAACTGGAGAGCCTTGACCTTCCTGTTCCTTAAGGCCCAACGCTTTGTCTCCTTCACTTCCGTTATCAAGATCAGAAGTTCTAGGCACTCCAGATGCAGGTGATACGGCACCAGCACGTGGATTACGTTCATCTTCTGAACTCTCTTCTTGGGCATCTTTCACTTCCAAGTTTCTTTTAGCACTTTCCACTTTTGTACCGCTACTAACACTTCCCTCTTCTCGAAGGCCATCCATTGTATTTTCAGTTACTTGTCCAGGTGGCTGTTCCTTAAGACCAGGAGGTGTACCAAGATCATCATTACGTCCTCCCCCACCCCTTTCTGCACACTGAGAATCACCTTTCACAGGGGGTGAATCAGATGGACAATGAGAAACTTCAGAAAGTCCATCACCAGGACCTGGTGGACCCTCAGGACCAGGATCCGCAGACACAGCCTTAAGATCTTCATCTTGAGCAGCTACCACATAACTGCAGACACAACACAGTGCAATAGTGAGAATACAAAGGACGTGGCGTACTGACATCATTACTTTTCCCCGTTGGTGTTACTATCTCAATTTGGTGATCTAAACAAAACAAAAGAAACAGAGAGAGGCAACAAAAACAGAAATCAAGAAAAGCACATAAAGAGAACAAAACGAAAAGGGTAATAGCAAACTAAACATAACAGAAAGCTGCAACTATCTCTCAGATAGTGTCCAAATGAAAGAAACAAGCACACAATACCCATTAACAAACAGATAATCACAATTATCCCCTTAAAAATAAGAAAAAGAAATTAAGAGAATAACCATCAGAAGGAAGCACAGAAATAAATACCACTTTCACTTTCAATAGAACCATGTGCAACATTATGAATATATATATGAATTCCTTTTTATTTACTCTCAGCACAAAACAATTCAACGTAACATTGAAACCGAGAGCACAATGCGCCCAAACAAAGAAAAAT